TACTGATATATAGAACTATGTCGTTTTATTATTTAATTATATATATATATATATATATGATATATAGAACTATATGACATTTTATATTAAATTATATATATATATATATAATGCATATGGCCTTGTAGTACCATTCCTTTCACAGATAGATGCATTTAAATCTATGTACGAGTTTGCTATTATATATGCACAACTGCTGCAGCCATCCTGCTAATCCATACTACAGTCATATGTGGGCTTCTTTCCCACCAAGCGCTCAATCCGTGCATGTGCCCCAGGAATACGCGTGCATGTGCCCCAGGAATCCGGTGGGGACATTGACATCAGCGGCCCAGGATTAACAATCGCCTTCAGGAAAGTAGGGATATTCTCATTCATTATGCGGAAGTATCTGTTCAAGTGTCGTTCCTGTTCCTCTATAACCTCTGCTGTGAGTTTCAAGCCATCCGCAGTGGTCAGGAGATGGTGCTGCACATGCTCAAGAGCATCTGGGCCTATCTTCTTACCGGACGAAGTCCCAGCAAATTTATTCGCTTGTTTCGTCTCCGACTCGTACTGTGCGATATTGCGTAGTTTGATCTGGCTCATGGCGGCCAGGAATGCAAGTGAAGAGTACTTTTCGTATTCTGCACCCTCAAACACATCTTTCAACCTGTCCACATCCTGACCTTTAGGAGATCCATTGGCCTTCTGTAGAGTTTTCGTGTATATGCGAGACATCATCTCCGTCAACCTTCACCCAATGCTCAATAAATGTGTAGCAATCCGCATCTCTGTTGACATTCAACAGATCAAACGGCACAGTGTAGCGCAGGCCTAAATCATCCGAAGCTATCAACCGCAGCAGCTCCAGACGATGGTCCAACATCTTCTCCAACAAGGGCTTTACCTCGTATTCGTGTGCCAAGTAGCTGAGATCTGTAGCCAGTCCTAAACGTGCTCGGCAGTAATCGCGCGTTTCAAAGATCCCCCAGAAGTGCCCAGTGTGTGCCACAAACATGTCGACCGGTTCTTCCCTCACACGGAAACCGAAGTCACGGCACGCCCGCATCTTTGCTTCCTCTACTTGAAGCTTGCGCATTTGACTTTTGATACTGATGCATTCATCCTTGTGCTCGGGTAGGTCATCTTTCTGACACTGTACAGAGCAGTGTCTGTAGCAGTATTGAGTTTAATAGACAAATTGAGAAGTCAGCGGCAGGAATAACTTCCATGGGTGTATACGCGTGGTCGAAATGTGTTGATACACACCTTGCACTATAACCGTTTTTAGAAAGTATACAGTGAAGTGCCACAAACATATTTATGTAGTGGATTAATTGCACAGAAAAAAACTCGTGTGTGTGCGCGCTGATTCAAGTAAACACTCACGAAGCCGGCTTCTACAATTCATCTGTGGCGATATATTGAATATATATATATATATATATGTAAATGTATATTCAATAATACATATATATATATATATATATATATATATTATTTATT